CACGAAACTCCATAAATTAACTTAGTACAGATGAATAATCTTATTTGAGTTGCATAGGATGCATTATATGACATTTTTGAGTTGGCTGCCGAGTTGGCTGCTAATTTCAGCCCGGTTGAATAAATAGATAATAGTAAATATTACTTTCATAAAACACGCATTCTGATGGGCTGGTTTTTTTTAAAACCACGCATGTGCAACTATAGAATAGCTATGATAAAACGCATTCTCATTGGCTGGATAAGCACGCATGCGTATTGAATAGTACAGCTATGACAAAACGCGAAATCTGATTGCTTTACTACCTTTAAGATCGAGGATGCATGGATTGCGCGCGGAATAGAATAAAACGCGAACTTTGGCTGAATACTCTTAGAAATAAATAACGCAAGCATGTACGAGCAATGCAAAACGAGGTGAAGCAGAACTATTATAAAACACGCAACCTGATTGGCTGGGTAACTTATTGCCTTTATCGTTAGGTGAAGTGCTGTGCTTTGATTGGTTTAAAGAATGACTTCGATTTCGTCACGTGATAGTGCGTTTGTCGCCCTGCTTCAAAAAGTAGATATAAAAAGTAATCTTAACTCACTTACAGGTTTCGTAAGGGTAGCCAGTCGGCCCAGGCTGACTTTTTTCTTTGGTTTTTCTTCATTTTCCTTGTCATTTGGTGTAAGTAAGATACGCATGATCTTTAACTTGCGCATGGCATGGAAGCTCAAGACAGCACCAACCGACTCCAGAAAACAGAAACAAAGAGCACTGATGACCAACGCATAATACGTTGAGTGAAGATGATGAGCACTGTCAGATCTCACGTTGTAGATCAATACCCCTATGAAAACGAATTTCATCAAAATTGTTTCTATCTTGATCTTGGTAGAGTCATTGTCCGAGTCTCCTGTTCTAGTTTAATGGGGTGGGGAGGGGATTGATAGGAAGGGAAGGTAGCTAAAGTAAGGGTGGGAAGTGGAGTAATGTATTAGTAATCTAGATAGTGGTCAAGGGTTGGTAGAGTGCTGGGGTAAAGTAGAATAAGGGTGGGGTGTAGGACAAGGTAGGTTGGTGTACAGTGGGATGAAAATGAGCTAAGGAAATGGGCTTGGAAATAGGGTAAATAGGATAGGGTAGTGTAGCATATGGAAGGGTAGTTTAGTGTAGCAAAAGGTAAGAAGGAGTGTAAAAACGGTTAGAAAAATGAGTAGGGTTATATGGGATAYATAAAGAGAAACACACACATTTATCATAGCATAGGAATGAAAAAACCTTATCCTAAAGGATTCCTTTAATTTGTACAAATAGTGAGCAAACAACCAATGCTGATTCATTTGCTTCATACGTTTCTTGCATCATTGGTAAAACACTTACCTTTAGTAATACTAAAAGCTAGAGACCCAATGCTAAAGAAAAGAATAATAAAATGCCAGATACATTTCTTAGTTGACAATGAAGATTCATATGGATGATCAATCTGCTTCAAGGAAATATTCTCTAGGAAGCCATATATGAAGAATAGCAAACCACATCTAATGAAGGACAAAACTGCCAAGTCAATGACGCTGTCTCTTATAGTAAAGTTAGTAACATGGTCTTCCATGTACTTGGTGTTGCCGCCACATAACCATAGAGTAACTGATGACGCCAGGTCAAGAACAAGGAGCACCTGCATCAAGATTGTGAATCGGTATTTTGGGAGAGTGTAAAAAATAACATTTACTTGATCTCCTGTCTCTTCCTCCTTACTGGCCTCTTTGGCACGGCCAATGTTGTTGTACTCCATATTGCTAGAATATCAGCGAAAGATAACAAGGTTTGAGGAAATGCACATTGTACATGTAGGGGTGGGGAAGAGGGGTACAGCTGCACAGGGCACAGGTACACCAGGGCTGTCCTTTCTAAAGAGCTATTATAACATAGCTATGATATAACATGCGCTCTGATTGGTTATTTAGAGTGCACGTGCATGTGTCCAAAAATCGATGGTGCACGCTGATCTGATTGAGTAGCAATTGGTCATTAATTACTGTGCTTCCATTGAGCTTTGGGTGCACTTGGTTGGTTTCTTAAGCACTCAAGAAGGTACACCTCGTGCAACTCTTATATTCATTCCTGCTAAGCAACCTCCTACATGCACCCAAAAATGAATGGAAGCATGTTAATCAATGACCAATCCTTTATCGTTATTATAAAAGTGTGCATGCGAGATTGGGAACTTTGAGTTCAAAGGGGATGGATCCAAGATCTTGAGTGGGGTGGTAGTGGGGGGTTCATTTTGAATAAGATTTGACATTGAGAAACAATTTATGTAAATTACGCATTAAACTTGGGTAAGAATTCCTTGGAGGGGGGTCATTCATGGGAACCCTTTGTCCACCCCCTGGATTCACCAATTAGTTATTGTCATTTTTGCTTTAGTGCAATCCTGAACTTCAGAATTATTGTTTTTCAAAATATGAAAATTTTACCAATATCGTACCCACCCTCCCCCTTTAAGTTATGACCAAGATACTCTAGTAGCAGACTAGTCAGCTAGTAGCAGATGCTATGGGGTCAACAGAGGGTGAAATTGAAGTTTTGACATTATTCAAAAGATTTACAGGGATATAGTTAGAACCTAAGAAAAATTGTGCAAGAAAAAAAATTTGTTGTAGTATTCGAACTTGAACTGACGATAAGCATACCATAAACCACATCTTGTACTCAAAAATATTGTAAATGCTGAGTCATGTTATACAAGCAAACTTGCAGTAGTGTATAAACGCTTGCACAGCAATTATAAATGCCACTTCTATCCATGAATACCTTGACCTCTATTATAATTTTATAAGTTTTCCCCCTTTTTTTACGAAATTCCGCAAAGAATTCATAGAAAGAAGATCAACGAATGGTTTCCAATGGAATATGAGTAAAAAAAATGGTTATGTAAGAATTCTGCAAAGTATATCAGAGCTGGGATCAGAGAGTGATTTGCGAAACTACTTCGCAAGCCAGTCCAAAGGAAATCAACCAAAAAAATTCATGCTTTCTCTACGAAAAATAACTACTCCCCTAAGCCCCAATTTCGACAACATTTTCGTTCATAACGGCCGATCGACCGATTAGAATGAAAGCTTTGTTGAGCGAATTTTGACAAAAACTCATTTGCAAACATCGAGCGAACATCGCTTTGTTGCCGTAGCTCAAAAAAAAAACACCGTAAAATTACGTACTTACCCAGACTATTGACTTGAAAACTCCAACAATCGTAGTCTAAATATTGAATATAATAACTCCGATCTCGCTACAACTACCGTCAAATATACTTTGGTAAGCTTTTTTGGTGCATGGTACTTGATTACTTAAAATTCGGATTACAAAGAACGCCTAAAATAGCATAGAATACACAGGAAGCCCAAACAAGTAGGATATACAATGTCATCATTGCATCAAGGTCATCAAACGACGGCAAGAACGTGATTCGAGAGTGAATTTTTTCCTTTTTTCTTTTTTAAATTCGTTTTATTTTATAGATTTAATTTAATTATTTTATTTTATTTTGTTTCGTTTCGTTGATTTTATTTCACTCAATGTTATCATATATTCTTTTATGTTATTTTATTTCATGTCATTCAATTTGTTTTGTTTTAAATAAGAATTTCATTTCATTTTTACCTCTTATTTTATTTTATTTCTTATTTTATTTTATTTTATATATCTAGTCCCATTCTCCCCTATCCCCCTCGTCCACTTGTAGTCGAGGCTATTAACGTCACGCGCTGCTCGAAGGAAGGAGGAAGCGGTTAGCAAGGTGGCACAAAACAAGACAACTAGTACTGTTGTATCTCAACCTTATACGGCTTTATTTAACCTCAGCAAGACCCGAGACATGTAGTTCTACCACGACAAGAGAGTTATGGGGCTGAAAGAGTCAAAACTTTGCTTCCTTCCTTACGAGGAAGCGATAAAGCGAGGTAAAAACCTAACTCTTGCTCAGCTGGTCCATGAGGTTTCGAGATGTGGCGAAACAGCTTAGCTGATCAATGTTTTGGTTTGTTTATTTACTTGCAGTTACTGATGAAGAAACGCAGAGACTTCGTCTGGCTTTTAAACGAACCTCGGGTGTCAATGGATTAATGGGACAGCCTATGTTTATGAAAGAAGTCCTAGGAGATTGTGTACCAGCGAAAGTATCCGAGGTGATCTTTTCTCCTTCAAACGCAGTTAAAAATTGCATTACGTTTTCCATCCACGGACCGATCACCGATTTAACTCTCTTTGATTTTTATCTTTTTCTCTGCAGCAAATTTATTCAGCTTTTGGAGGAACAGCCAAAGGCATTACCTTTGTAAACTTATTATCAGGATTAGTATTGTTGACCAGAGGTACAAGAGAAGAGAAAATAAAATGTAAGATGAGTAAAAACACAACTTGAAGTCAATGAAAGTTTCCCAAGTAATGGTCAACTCTGGCTTAAAATTGTCTTGATTTCTTGTATTATAGTTATTTTCAACGTGTATTCCAGCGATGCCAATAGTGTGACAAAAGAAAGCCTTGGAAATGTAATTCTTGCAAGCGAAGGAACTGTCCCTGCTGTAGTGAGCGAATGTTTTTCTCAGGTGAGTAGAAAATCATAGATTGACATAACCTTAACTTTGCGATCGTTACAATGTTTTCCTAATTATCATTACTTCTGACAGATCAAGAAAAAGGAGAAAGTAAGCAGAATTACTATAAACTACAAATGCTARAAAGCAAAATTAAAAAAATCCAAACTCTAAGCACTCATTATAACTCCGCTTTCACCTTTTTTGTTCGTAATTGGATTAATCGTTATCAAATATTTTCCAGTTTATTTATCCCTTACCGTAAGATCTAAACTCCCTCGTAAACCTAATCATAATAAACTTTACTCAAGATCGTGTTAGAATTGAAGTATTTATGAGTTAAATTATCTAAAAATTCCATTTTTATAGTTAATGTTAGTGATTTTATGTTCGTGTGTCGATTTGATTTCACCTGTTCAATTGTTTAGACATTTATTGATATTGTTTAGTATACTTTGTTTCCAAATAATACTCTTACGTAAATAGCGTATAGTTCATTCAAAAGTATGGCTATCAGTTTTGACAACCATTTTATTGCTTGTCTTAATAGCTAGTGGATATAAAGAGAATAATTTAAAGCTTGAATGATGTTCTCAACGAAACGGGAAAAAATAACGGAAAAAAAAAATGCAAATGTACAAAGATTTCCTCAAAATTTTTAAGTGCTTCAAAAAAAAAAAAAAAAAAAAAAAAACAATAATGGGAAATAATTGTATTGTGTATAAAGAATTTAAATTTATCATTTTTTATTTACTGGTTAAGTTATTATTATCGTTTGTCCACTATTTTTCTTCGCAAGATTGAATAAAGTCTGTATATGATATTGACACACAAATAATGTATATAATTCCACATACATATATTCAAGAATTATTGGAATTGACCCATTCAATAAATATCAATAGATACTAAAAAATAAATTAGTCCTTAAAATTCCCCCATATTTATGTTTTGATGTGTTATTTTACTAAAGAAAGAAGAACAGCTTTTTTCTTGTCCAGTTCAGTAATACATACTACAGGAAGTGATGAAAACACTCATACTTTTTGAGTGTTTTCAGTGCTGAATCTTGCATACCTTTCCCATCCATATTCCCAATCATATTCCCAGTATCATGTTTTTCATTTAACTTATCTGGTGTGGCAGAGTTCGTAAAATGTGTATGAACTTTTCTCAGGCAAATTAATCAAAACTTTAATAAAGACGTACTGTATGGTATAATATCATCATCACCAGAAGGTGCATAAGGCCATTACACTACATGTACATTTGTCAAGCAAATTATTCGTGGCTGTAATAACATAGTATATGAATTAAATCCATCTTTTACTTTTAGGTGGACAAGTTGACATTTGAGGAGTTCTCGAAGTGGATATCCAGGAATCAAGACATCTCATCCCTAACAACATGGCTGCTCGTTGTCAGTAATGGTTGTAGTGTGCAGTTGACTGACAATAGTGAGGCACCTACATTCTATCAAACCTTGGCTACTGTTACTCATTGTAAGTAATTGTGATTGTGTATGCATCTTAAGATTCTTGTTATTCTCTAATCATTGGCATCTTATTTTTCTTCAGTACATGAAGGGGACATTATAGAGTTGGAAAAGAAATATTGGAATTTGAAATCATCTTCCAAGACTGGGAAGTTTGACTTGGAGACATTTACAAAGTTGGTTTCACCTCCAATACCAAGTGTGGTCTGTCCAGGTATGGTATTGGTATGGTATTATGACAGTTTCGTTAGGTGGGTTGGGGATGTGCATTGCTAATGTTACTGCATCTCACTGCCGAGGGCCCCAGCTTCTACCCCTGGATCTGCCATCATAATGCAAGCTGCATTACTTTCTGTTTATTCCCTGTGCTTTGAGGGTTTTCTCTGGGTTCTGCTGTTAAATCCTTCCTCTACACAATATTCCAAATTGATCATGGAACAAGAGGGTCAAAGTTTAAAAAATCTAAAAAAAATTGAATATCTATAAAGCTTTYGCTGTTGTATAACAGCGTGGGACAATCACAGCAAAGCTTGGCTTAGGTGAAAGCCCAAAGATCAAATTAGAATTTAGTAGTTGATTTTTGAGGCAGGAGGAAAACCCAGGAAAATTCTACTAACATGACACCAAGACTGGAAGGACTTAAACCAGGGCCACATTGCCGAGAGGGGGCGAATTAGCAGTGGACACCACCTATACTTCCCTTGTTAGCCACTGGCTATTAAGTGCTATTGTTAAAATTAGAGGGTGATTCATTTAAATGTTTTAAATAATAATGCATATGCATAACGAGAAGATTAAAGCAAATATTTACAAGTTTTAATGCATGTTTTTTTCCAGGTCTCTTCAAGGCATTTGATGAGAATGGCGATGGTCACATAGACTTCAGAGAAATGGCATGCGGAATATCATCATGCTGTAGAGGATCGAGTAATGAACGACATCAGTGTAAGATAACGTTTACAGTTCTAAACAATTTACACTAAACTCTCTTTGAAGCAGATACCCTTGGGAGTTGTTGTCTGTAACGATGAGCATCCACAATAGAGAGTTAATTGCAGTCTTTTCTTTGTCACTATTTAAAGCACCGGGGGAATTTGCTCCTGTCCGTAATAGTGAGGTGTCCTTAATATTGGGGTTCCTGCAAGGCAAGAGTTGACTGTACGCAATAAAGCCTCTAATACATTTGAACTACTTTTTTGAAATTTTGATTTCCTTACAAGAATAGAAAGTTGATACGTGTAGGAGGTAGAGCAGGCAGGGCACTGGCAACTTTGGGGAAGCTTTGTCTTTTTTCTTAAATACAAAATAATGTTATGTAAAGATTCTTTTAGCCCACCTCTCTTTGGGTCTTTTAACTAAAAATTAAAACTGATTGTCTTCAGTCAATTATAACACTACAAAATAAAAAAACCCCCAAAATATTTCAAATTTGAGGCTTTGTAACATGGACTTGGGTTGCTACGATTTTACCCTGGATATGTCAAACCCCTATGATTATTTTAATTTGAGCCTTTTCCCTGATCTCCAGAAGGTTTGATATAACCGGACTCATGTAACTACATGTATGTTTATGTTGATCTATACTCTAGTTTGCTTCAAAGTATTTGATGCTGATGGAGATGGGCTGTTGTCCAAGGAAGAAATAACATTATTGTGTCAAACTCTACTGGAAATCAGACAGGACAGCTCTTCTGATAAGGTAATTGTTATTGTCTATAATCATTCAGTATTGCAATTTGAATTTTCAATTAAAAAAAAAAAGAAAAACACCAAAAAACATGCATACACTACAGTTGTGTTCTTGCTTTTGTTATAATTATTGAACACCATAACTGAGGATTTGAGTTGAATGAAGTCAGTGATGTTGTCCTGAGGTGTGATTTTTCCAAAAGATGTTGTTGATTTATTGCCAATTTTGTCTGATTGTAAATTGTTTTATTGCACAAACAGGATTCAAAGGTTCAGTCTTTGGAAAAAAATCCAAGTCTAATGGCAGAGGAAATTTTGTCAAATTGTGAAAAAGAGAAGGTAAGACATGCCTTGGATAATTTATCATGTGCAAATGCCTTTCATATTTGGATACGTTACTCAGTGGTCCAAAGGATGATCCCTGTGAGAATCCTCAGTCCAGAAATTTAACTAGAAAAATGTCCCTCCTTGTATCGACAGGACGGTCATATAGATCTGCAAGATTACCAGAGATGGGCCAGTGAACATAGGTTTTCTTTGTTCTTCCCAAAGCTTTTGGTCCAGGTAAGAATGTAGCTTGCTCATACACATACAGTATCTTGGTGCTGTGTCTGATGATCATTTTCATTGGATGGCCAATGATGTCATGATCTGTGATTGGCTCAATGGAAGTCATCATTTTCATACCCTAACAGTGCTGGGTACCTTTGTTGTAATCCAGGTGACTCACTTCTTGTGATGAGCGATAATTATATTAATAAAACCTCTTACATTATTTAGGTTTGTCACATTATATTGGGACTAAAACCATCATCCACTGAAATTGAACTGCAAGTTGTTAGGTAAGACTGCATGCATGTCTGTTTGCTTATTAACATTATACTGAAGTATGACCCGCAAAGTTTGATGTCTCATTTGCCGACTAGAATTTCAATGACTGTCAATCAAAAAAACAAACAAACAAACAATATCTTTAGGGAGATTTTAATAATAATGGGATTAACAGTGGATTCCACAGAGTGGCTCTTCTTCCACTGGATTCCAATTGGAATTTAGACGTTGATTTTTGCGGAGGGAGGAAAACTGGAGAACCCAGAAAACCCTTGAAGCACAGGAGAGAACCAACGAACAACTCAACTCACATACAACATCGAGCTTGTCGGGACTCAATCCCGGGTCGCATTGGTGAGAGGCGAGCGCTCTCACATTATGTCATTGCTCTCGCATCATGTCATTGCATTTTGAACTGAATTAATGATTTTAATGCTCAGCGGATTGCAATCATTCTCAAGAGTTACCAGCGTTTGCATTGCTACTCTGCCACCCGAGACAAAAATCGKGACGTGCACTTTGCAATAGACTGCCGTCAATCTAACACGTTGACGCCATTTACATGCGTGTGTGATTAAAAAGGCGCCAAAACTTCGGTTGATTGTTTACAAGTATTATGAGCCACACTCACTGGGCCTTTCCGGGCCGATCCAAGCGCATGTAATTGATGTCAACTTGTTTGCAGTCTATTGCAGAGTGCACGTCGCCATTTTTGTCTTGGGTGGCGGCGTAGCAATGCAAACGCCGGTAAATGACAGTCAGTTGATGGTATCAACAGAGGAGGTTAATTAAATGACATAAATACGACCAACGACGACCTGTGATGACATAAAAAGATGAGAATATGTGATGACATAATGTGACATTACAGAGATAAACATTGATATTGATCTTCAATATCAATTTTTTTTAAAGAGGGTGGCTTGAGAGAGAAAACCAGGCAGGACTGAAGCCAGGCACTATCTGGTATCTGATATCTATGTCTTGGTGGAGAACATGGAAAGAATATGTCAACTATCAGGTATGCAATGATATAAGTAGAGTTGTGTGTTAGTTCCCTCCTGTACTCCAGGTAGGAGCCTATGTATCAAGCAGGTGATGTGGCATATTCATTAAAATACAATGAATCGCACCCAGAACAATAGATTAGAACAACAAAAGAATGCAATAGATTTACATACAATGTCGTCAACTCTTGCTTTAAGGACACCTGATATTACAGACACCTTGCTATTATGGACAGTATTAAAATCTCTGTTTAAAAAAAATTACAAAAAAAAGACTGTAACTCTCATCATTACAGACGCTCGCTATTACAGACACCTAGCGATAATCTACCTTGATTTGCAAAGGTTCCTTTTAAAAGGGTTCTTAATGTATGTATTGTAGATCCTTCCATGCTATAAATGCACTCCTTATGTTATTAAATTCCTTTGTTTATAGCCTACAAGGAGATCTTCAACAGGGTCCATGAAACGTAATGGAATGATACCTTCTAAAGCCAACCAAGTGTCCTCTTCATCAACCTCTTCTAGTCAAGCATGGCCTGCTGACACCCTCCGTACAAAGACCATTGGTCGAAGGGAGTCCCATCCTATGTATGGTAATACTGCAGTCTCCCCAGCCAATGGAACAGCTAATGGTTACTGTATAGTGGGGAATGATGTGGTTAATAATGGGCCAGGACAGATTGATAATACGTCGTTGATTGAAACAGAAACCAGGAAGGTAAGCCATACACAGGTAGATGATGTCACAGACTCCTTTCAAAATTTGCAAAAATATAATAGTTTCTATTGGAATGTCAAGAAAAACTTTAAAACAGTGATAAGTAGCCAATTAAGGATTATTTCAGTGAAGTTTCAGTGAAAATTTGGATGATTTTTGTTCAAACCCCTGCACAGGTATTTCACGTTTCAATGATTTTATTGAAATTTTTGATGAATCCTCATACATTTCCTTATAACAGGACAYMACAGAAACCAAGCTTGGGCTACCTGTGGCCCCTGTTAATTTTAAGCTCTGATATTATAACCTCAGTGTGTTGTTTTAACAGATAACAGTATTGACAGGAGAAGGTGGTAAGCTGAAGAGAACTGTACCCCTTAGTAGAGGAAGAGACTTTGAGATTCTTCCTGAACCAGTATGGAGGGCTTTACTCCAGTGGTATGGCGGTGGACCAGCCCTTCCAAGGACTGTAAGTATTCATCGTCTCCTAAGATTCCTAGGCGTGAAATTGGGTATATTTATCAAGAACGTCCCTTCATCTTTTTTCCTTCTGATAGGTTATCATTCCAACTAATGGAGACACAACACCAGAGCTTGAGCTGTTTCCCATTAGTATCAGAATATTCCGTCATGCTCCGCCCCCTACCCGTGGCGGCATCACCACCTGGACGGGAGTTGGCTTTGGACTCAGTACTTTTGGCTTCAGTTCCAACTCCATGACTGCTAGTCATGCACCTCCTAAGAAATACTTGGCTTTCCTTGCTGCATTCAGTCGCATGAATACCCTGCAACAGGTTGGAATTTAGTGTATAGAGGGGTATATTTTATATGTATTTGTGTACTCTATGGCCAGTGTGTCCGACCATATGTCAGCCAATGATCGCCCAATATTTATGATAAAGATGCATTGGGCAATAAGTTGCCATTCTTCAGTCAACCAGTCAACAGACAATGATTTTTAATGCCTTTTCAAGTCATGCTTTGGACAATGTATGGTGGGGAGGTGTTGAAGAAGTGATGGTGAAGTGTTGGGAAATTGGTTTAAATTAGAGAATTAGGTTGGGGCTAATTAGAAAATTAGAAACAGGTGGGCTAATAACAGCGATGTATTGATGGAATGGAAATAATCAAGCTTCTAATAGTAAGTCGTAATACTAATAATTGCAATAACTTTACTACAGGTCCTTGAGTACACGAGTGGAAGACTAAGGATACGGGCTGAGGACCTGAGACTTTGGATCATGGAAACTGATGTAAGATATTGTCAGACTCTGAGTGCCTTAAGGGCAGTGCATACTATTGTCCACACGCACACGTCCTTAAGCTGTTACTGTAAAAAGCACTTGCATTAGTTAATAGTTGTTTTGAAATGAATTTCAGAATTCTTTAACACTACTGGAAGATGAAGCAAAAACCCTAGAACAGCTTGGCATCTCTGATAACATGGCTTTACTACTAGAAGGTATGAGGATGATGATGATGATGATGACAACATTTGTCATAGTGATATGATAATGATAGTGGTAGTGGTGATGATAATGATGACAATATTAATCATAGTGATGATGATAGTGGTGGTGATGACGATGATGTCTTTTTGAAACATAAACAGGCTTTTTTAGTCACTTCACACAACTCAGTAACCAAGTTTGTGTCTTGTACCTTTTGTTTCATAGTTCGTAATAGAGACATGAGCTGGCCTGAAGAAATGTCATCCCTAGCAACGAGTAAAAGCCTGAGGGAGAAGTTAAACCATGGTAAGAACAGGGTCCAATAGATACCATGAATGGAATCAAAACCAGGTCATACAGAGGGGGAGGGGAAGTATACTTGAACAGGGTAGAATGGGAGCTGAAAATGGAAATGGAAAAAAATGGGAACTGAAAACATGAGAAATGAAAAATGGAAATCGGAAAAATGGGATTCGATACACTGGTACTGGAATTTAGTTACACTGTTATGCAGCTCAAGACTATAATGTGCTGATATATCACCTCACTAACAAATAAATTCAGTTCATGGTCCCATAGTGAAGGCTTTGCTGGATGGCAAGTAATCTGATCCACTTTTGATTGATCATTTTCAGATCCTACCGAGAAAGGAGCAACAGGTTTGAGTAACCTTGGCAACACATGCTTCATGAACTCCGCCCTGCAGTGTCTCAGCAACACACAGCCATTGACACAGTATTTCATTAATCGCTGTCACTACTATGAACTAAATAGGTAAAATTATACCTCGAACAAAAATAACAATATTGATTAAGCGGTCTCTGTCCATTGGAGGGATGAGAAAAACCTGTGAAGTCCACAAAACAGCTCTAACCACAAAAACTATTCCAGGAATCGAACCCTGGTCACAGTGTTGAGGCATATAACACCATTATTGGCCCTCATGATCTAACTTTTGGCATGTGTGTCGTCAGTAAAAAAGACACCATGATACTCTTCTTGCCAGTGTCATCTAACACTGCAACTGGCTGTCTTACTTGAACCCTACATGTCTAAACTCTGGATATATGTATTACTAACATACAGGGCTAATCCGTTGGGTATGAAAGGACATATTGCACGTCGTTATGGTGATCTTGTAGAGGATCTTTGGAGTGGTAGTTCTAGAAGCCTTGCACCACTAAAACTAAGGGTAAGTAACTGTATCTCTATGATCAACAGAACGTTTACATTCAGGTGTTCATAACTAATGCCACATCGACAGGGAATACAGACAATTGACTCTGGCGCTATTTTTTCCCCATGCTTGTTTGAGTTTCGTCCTAGTTTAGCATTCAGGATTTTTGTTGGTCTTTGAATAAGGGACAAAAACCTAACTTGCGACCATGATATAGTGTATTTGACATATAGGTGGTGATATCCAATGCCATGTCGACAGGGAATACAGACAATTGACTCTGGCGTCATTTCCCCCCATGCTTGTTTGAGTTTGTCCTAGCTTAGCATTCAGGATTTTTGTTGGGCTTTGAATATGGGATAGAAACCATGATATGGTGTATTTGACATATAGGTGGTGATAACCAATGCCATGTCGACAGGGAATGCAGACAATTCGCTCTTGTTTTCCCATGAGTTTCGTCCTAACTAAGCATTCGAGATGTTTGTAACTGGGTATTGAGTTTTGAGAGATTTGCTTAGGGGATCACAGGGGTTTCCTCAAGCTAGTTTATGACCTCCTAGTCATGGGACAATAAAGAATATGGTGTTATGGTGTATTTGACTTCTCTGTTTCTTTTGCAGTGGACAATTGGACGTTATGCGCCGAGATTCAATGGCTTTCAGCAACACGATTCACAGGTTAGTTCATCCGTCCGTCTCGTAAATAATTATACAAAATGGACGAGTACCCTATCGCCGCAATAAACCTTTTCAAATCGTATCATTCATTGATATTATTTTTTTCTCTGTTTTAAGGAATTCCTTTCTTTCTTGTTGGATGGACTTCATGAAGATCTCAACAGGGTCCACGACAAGCCGTACATCGAGTTAAAGGATAGCGATGGCAGGCCCGATGAAATCGTGTCTCAAGAGGTAAGCATTCCAGTAACTTTATTCGTTTGCGAAAATCAAACAGACAATCATGTTAACATTTCTGTTCGTCTTCCACAGGCCTGGGATAATCATTTCAAGCGTAACCAGTCTATTGTAGTGGATTTGTTTCAAGGCCAGGTAATGTTTAGCGATCCTTTTTTCAAAGCTTATAAGAGGGCCTTCCTCGTAGAAACTTAAACACCTAAGTAGTCTGTCTGTCTGTCCAAGTAGTCACGTGATAATCTCGACTTACCGATGTTCTTACCCCCCCCCCCCCCCCCCCCCCCCCTTCAAGGCAAAACCCCGGCTACACTCCTGCTGATATATCATAACTAACGCACCTCCACCAGACAACTGATGATATGATTTGTTATATATTACAGTTAAAGTCTCAAGTGCGGTGTTTAGAGTGTGGATACGTCAGCTCAAGATTCGATCCATTCACATTCCTTTCTCTTCCTCTACCGATGGACAACTCCATCTACGTTGAAGTTGTTTGTAAGTTTTTCCATTTGATGCTTGAATTCCCCTAATTTCCTACACAGACGTTGTCACTTTGTCACGTCACTATTCGTTTTACCGCATACTTTTTTCTTGCGCAAGATTTTCTACAATACTCGAAAAGTATCAGGCGTCACACATTCCCCTAGCTAAGCAGACGTTATCATGGTCGTCACCTTGTCACAACGTTGCGTGACCTCGCTAAACGTCTGTGTAGGCTACCTTATGATAATCAGTATTCCGGCTATTTTTTGTTCAGTTGTACCTCTTGAGGGAGTTACTCCGACCAAGTATGGGCTTCTTTTAGACAACGATGATAAATACAAAGCTATCAAGAAAGGATTGTCAAAGTATTGCAACATCGACCCTAAGAATCTGTTACTCGTTGAAGTCTATGGCGCAACAGTCAAGGTGTGTTGGACGGGGACCGTGCATGTCGTTAAATACGAGGGTGGAAGGGAGTGAGGAAGGGAGGGTGTGGACGGAAAGGTAAACTGAGCCTTACACCAACTCTCTATATGGTTTCTCTGGGCCCCGTTATAATGTAGGGTGACAGTAGGTTAATATCTTCATATACATTGGGCTTGCCTATGAACATCTCCCACTGTTTTTCTCTTTCGTTCACCAAGATGCACTCAGTTATCTATTCTCATAAGCTTGCTATGAACTTTACAAAACCACTCCCCACAAAAAAAAGAAGACCTTAAAAAAGAGCAATGAAACCCTCAAAATTGTTGAAACGCTGGGAGCTTTATGGAATGAAAGCCCCAAAATACTCACTCCATAGGGAGAGCGGAAAAAAGGGTCTGGAGGGTCTGGCCTGCGCTAAAGAAAAGGTTTCTCCCAGTTTTCACTAATGACGCAAGGACAAATGCAAGCGCCAGCTCAAAAAACTAGAAAAGGTATAATCCTTATGCTTGCGTTGAAACTCTTGCCTCTTGTGTTATGCTTGTATTGCTAGTGAAAACGATTTATATGTTTGTTTTTTACAGAATATACCAGCCGATACGATCAAGATTCGTACAGCCATGGGAGGTTTTCTCTACGCCTACGAAATCCCTTCACGATCTACAATCGACAACGAAAATACTGATAAATCTAGAACTAAAAATACCTTTACTTCAATTCAAAATACAAACATCTCAGCTCCAGAAGAAATGAGTTCGTGTACTCAAGAGGAAATAACACCTAAACAAGAGGATTCCACAGAAAATAGTACCTCGATATCTGCAATAGAAACTAACGGTATTCAAAATGGACAAAATTCAAAATCTAATTCAAGCAATTCGCTCCATGTGGACGAAAATTGGTTCAACGAGGATGTGAAAAAGAAAAAAAGTTTGGGAATCTTGCGCAAAATTAGCCCCAAACCTAAAAAGAAAATCAGCCCCAAAGCCAATGGGTCATACAGTTTTAATATGGCAATTCGAAAATCATCATCGTCATCGTCTTCTGATTCTTCCCAGAGTTCGGTCTCAAATACTGATTCGGGAATCGTATTGAATAATGGTCAATCTCCTTGTAATACTACAGCATCTGGTAATGGATCTGAGGACAACTCCAGGTTGGGTAACCCTCAGAGAACTACCGCTGGTTCGTCACCGTCTCCTGCATCGCAGTCTCGAGTGGGTTTCACTTTTAATGGGTTTGCTGTGGCAATACATCGAAAAATGGTGAGTTTGTGTCATCTAGTATCGTGTCATCCGATCTTAACGTTTAAAGACGCTGTTTTCCAAGCATAATAGGATTAAAGAGTGCGTTGGAGTTAGGAATTCCAATAACATTTTATAATCTGGGACACCCTAGCCAAATTTGAGACACCAATGTTTTGAAAGTGAAGTAAGTTTTGGGACAAAAAAATTCTGGTCTTTTCTGCGTTAATATTAGGCAGGATTTCTACCTTAATAACCTACCATATCAACTCGACCTCCAATAACGCGAACAGTTTGGTTAAATCCCTTTCTTTTGATTATGTTTTTCCTCTCCTCTTTCTCCTAAGCTAGGCTCCCCGTTTAATAGTGATGAAGTAATAAGCTTACAACTCTATTCGTTGTATTGTGTCGTTAGATAAGACTAGATGCATACTTCCTGTCCCATCAAAAGAACTACCCCAGTCTATTCGGTATTCCTGTCATCGTACCATGCACGGCGCATACAAAACAAAGTGAGCTGTACGAAGCAGTATGGACTCGAGTATCAAGATTACTAAGCGCACCTGCTCCTGGAGATAAGAACGCTAAAGATGGGTCAGTATCAGAACTCTTGTGGTTTTTGCAGCTGAGGGGTGAACGCGGCGCGCAAAGCATGAGTGGGAAACAAAATGACCGGCCTTAAGCACTTTTGGAACTTAAAAGAAGAAACAAACTTGGCGGTCAGATTGTTTTATCCTTTCCACATTTCTGCTTCTTGTAGGCACGTATTTTATATTCTAGTAAAAAGAAAACAGAAAAATACGCAAAAGTTGGTTTACAGTAGCCTGGGAACGAGGGCCGGTGGCAAAACTGCTAAACGCGCTGTGATTGGCTGAAACAAAATTTCCCTCTCAGCTGGAGTGGAATATCGTTGGCTGTCAAAACAAGTCATCATGCGATGAGTTGTAGACCGGATATTGCACCGCGCTGTTTCTTGTAATTGCTGCCGCATTCTAGCCATCAAATTCAAAACCCTTGAAAGTAAACTTCTTGTCAATGTTTTTTTTATTTCCCCCAGTTCCAGTGGTGATTACCCATTCGAACTGCGCGCAGTCCAGAAAGATGGCTTAACCTGTTCCTGGTGTCCATGGTATCGGTTCTGTAGAGGATGTTTGATCTCCTGTTCAGACCAGGAATTTGGAAACACCACCTCCTACCTGGCCATAGAATGGGACCCTACAACACTTCACCTACGATACCAGTCATCTCAAGAGAAGAGTTTTATTGAACATGAGAGTCTGGAAAAGAGCCGAAAGCTACAGACTGAACCAATAGACTTGTATGAATGTCTGACAGCATTCACTAAGGAAGAGGAGTTGGGTGAAGATGAGCTTTGGTGAGTAACAAGTCTCTTTTAGCCTTGTTTGTTTGTAAGGTTGAACCCCACTATTAGGCTACATAAAGGAAATGATTGTCAGGTGGCCGCTAACTTGTCTGACTACTGGCTATTACTACGGATCTCGTCGAACTGTGGCGACACTTCAAAGATATGTCTCGCTACCACGCCCAAAGCTGTCTATTGACACGCCTACTTTTGTCACTGTCTCGGATCTAGCACATTACCAGTAAGTTATACACTATAATACACGCACTGCTGTAACAATAGTAGGGGTTTCAGTAGACGAATTAGGGTGTGGTAACGAGATAAATTTTTCACGTGTCGCAACAGTTTGGTGAGATCCGTATTAAATAGAGCTTGGCTGCTCACAAGGCGACCATACTGAAAGTAAAACCCCGTGAAGGATCCAGGGATGGTTCTGTGGATGCCATGGAACCCCAATTTGTGAGATCTTGTGAAGCCAATCATGTTGTTTACGCCCAGTAAAATGAAAGTGGAACCCCTCTTTTGTGAAGCCAATCGTAACGGTTTTTCTGCATGGCGGCCATTTTGGAACCCTCACTTTTTGAAACACTGGATCCATCAGTGAAACCTTTTTATTTCAGCACTTGACGCTTTTTTTGGTGATTGTATATTGCAGGTACTGTAACAAGTGCAAAAAGCACAGACTTGCGGTCAAGAAGCTGGAAATCTGGAGCTTGCCTCCCATACTGGTAAGAACATACCACGTACCACGAGTTTATCATAGCTCAATGATAATCATTGCTGTACTCACTTTTGAATAACTTTTCTTTCAGGTTATTCACCTCAAACGATTCCAGTACGTCAATGGTCACTGGGTCAAATCCAACAAGATCGTCAACTACCCAAAAGTAGGGTTCGACCCTTCCGCCTTCCTGGTCAAGCGATTGGCAACCAGTCATTCGTCGCTAAGGAGTGGCGATACAACCGTTACCACGGTAACGGTCAAAAGTAGCGAAGATGACGAAAAGGTTGCTGCAGGCAGCAATCAGTCCAAAGCACAGGTAACCCAGTCAGGCTTTTGATTATTTTGTTAAGGCTCTTCGGTAACCCATTACTACTGCGCACCAGGATCTTTGACATTTTGTAAGCTGGGCAAGGTCATCATGCAGGCCTTTGAGCATTTTTTGATTTTAAACATTTTATTCACTCGGCTACTTGTGGAAAGTCCTTTCCAATATGGCTGACAGTGCTTTTGAGAATACAATAGCAAATGTATTAATATGATTTTCGTTGTTTTGCAGGTCAGCTCTACAGATACCTCAGAAACAGTCAGTATAGGTAGCAGAGGGAACTCGTCAAGCTTCAACAGTTCAAGTCAAGTGGATCTAACCCAGGCAAGCAGACACAGCTCTCGTACCTCGTCCACCTCCAGTATCGGCTCAGCCAAGGTCCATCCTAGTACGGGAATCATCTCACATCCTCTGGAGTCGTCTGGGAAGTACAGTGATGGGTCTAGTTTGAGGGATGGTCTTGAAGAACGATCAAAGAAAACTGACGAGGAGAGAGAATTAGATGAGAGTCGCAACAGAGCATCGTCCATGACCTTCAATATCCCTACGTATAAGCTATATGCAATGTCGGTACGTATTAACGATCTGATTGGTTGGACTTTCCATTGTTCTGCGGAAAACTGGTAACGAGAAGGACGCGCTCTGAATCATGGGAGTGATTTATGGGACGCCATTTCTTTCTTTCGTTTTAAAAGTTTTAAATTTTAAATCAAGTCACATTTACTATGGTTTTCGGTCTTCTTTTCAAGAGAGCTTACAAAGCTTTTCGCCACATTTAAAAATGGCGTCCTTCTAAAACGATGCCTTGGTTCAGCGCGGGTCCTACTTGCTACCAGTTTTCCGCCCAACCTCCGAAAGGCCAATATTCAACCCTCATACCTCCCCTCCAGCCCATTTCCATTCCATTTTACTAAATTTTTGATGTCATTTTTTAGTGCCATTCTGGTGTCCTAGGGGGTGGTCATTACATTTCCTATTCGATTAACCCCAATGGAAAATGGTACTGCTACAATGACAGTAGCTGCAAGGTACGTATGAGTTCGTATTAGAGACGGAAGAGAATCGTATGCAGTGATTTAGTGAGAACCGAGACGACAGAAGTAATGCAGAGAATGATGCTATCCCAAGTGCCTTTGCATGCTTCGATTTACGTTAGAGCCTTTTTAAATGTGCGTTATCGTACGAACAAATTTCTTTTTTTCTATCTCAGGAATGCGAAGCGACCAAAATGCAGAGAGACTCACCCTACATGTTATTTTACGAACAAGAAAACCTTAATACCGAAAAATTCTTGCCGAAATTTAAAGACCCAACGCCGGAGACGGCAAGCGATGACGAAGAATTCGAAAACGATGTGAAGCGAATGTGTTCAATACAATAAATACACGCGAATACATATTATGGTATAGCCACAGGTAGCCCACACGGACTACAGTTGGAAATTACCAGAAGAATTAAAAGAAGAATACAAAATCAATAAGGAATTGCTGGATATAATTTAATGTTACCATGACAGCTAGAATCACAACACGGCGGTAGCAATACAGAATTCAATGGAATGTAAATACTAATTATTTACACGCATCAGAGTGAAATCACCCAAACTGGTTGTAATATTATTCTAACCTTCAATTTTGCCAAAAAATTCCACATCATGTAACATTAATTCAAAATACGGTTTTTTATCAAAGGTGTCATTAAACTTACCACGGTGGATTCAATTTCTATTGTTCGTATTTTAGAGAAGCTTATTTCATGGCGGTGTTTCACTAGGTAGCTTGTCTCGCAATCGTTGCAAGAAGTAGTATTATGAGACTTGGGTTCTACTTTTCGCAACGATTTCAAGACAATTGCCAAGTGTAACACCCCTTTTGCAACTTCGCAAGGATTTGTAGACAGCTAATAAAAATACATTGCGAGTATACTGCAGTCGAATGTGTGGCACAAGTTGCATGAACACCCCTCTCGGTGCAACTGCAATGCACTCTTTTTCGCGCAACAAACTGCCAACACTATTACCTGTGTGCTGCATGGGTTGCAATAACTAGAAATTCAATTGAGATGCGTGTAAAAAGAACTATGTACTGTGACTAATCACATTCATATCCTAACGTCCTTATGCCCGTCATCACGAAGTCTTACCAACAGGAATATCCAGTTTGTCAGAAAAAGTGACAAAGCGYGACTTCCGGGTCCAAAACGAAACAGTTCTTTTAAGTCGGATACAATTGCTTGGTCAATTGTAGCTAACGTAACCCCTGCTACAATATGTTCAGAACGGAGTCTACCTCAAGTGAATAGTTGAATGGTGAAATATTTCTTCATTTGGGTGTTGCGTCGTTTAGTTATGAAGGTTCCAAATATGTTACTGGCTGTCATGACGTCACCCCAGGCTTCATTAAATATATCAAAAATAGAGGATATTACATGGGCGCGCGGAGATACGAAATTTATCTTCGAGTGTTGAAAAGATCTCTCACAAGTGAGCGCAGCGAACGAGTGAGAGATTTTCAACACGAGAAGATAAATTTCGTATCTCCAAGCGCCCATGTAATATTCTGT